TCTTTGCCCCTGCAGTGTCAATATTATGCATTAAATTTCTTCACAGCTGTATTCCTTGAAGTCCTAGTTGTATACATTTATTGTTTCAAGCACAAAACAATAATTTCACAGGTAGGGTAATACTTAGCAGGAATATTGCAATTGCCTGGTTCTGGGTTATGCTCTGCTGGTCTCTTACCTAATATGTCCACACAGAAGATAAATTATAACATTAACATTGTATTTATATTTGCTAGAACTTATATTGGAATCTCATATTGCCAATCTGCTTCATTGTACATTAACCATTTTCACACACATATAAATAAATAGAAGAGTCTCACATAAAAGCACTCCATATCCATAAAAATATGTTCCATCGCCACAAACAGCTCTTTCAATTTCCTGACTATCCAATAGCAGATGGTTAAAGTTCTAGTAGAAGAGAATATTTATAACTCAGGGTTGAACTGTGGGGTTATTGGTGCTCTCTGAGCTTGGTTGTTTTCTTGCAGATGTTTCATTACCCCAAATAGGTACCTTCTTCAGATGCTGGATATTATTCACATCCTACAGTAATGTTATCAAACTACTCCACTTTAGGTCAGTTAGACATTTCCCAGTAGACTACCATATAACATACAGCTTGATTCTAATCGTTTAACAAATTACCTCCTCATAGCTACGTGTATATATGCACATAACACAATTCCAATTTGTGATTTCAACATTGCAAAGAGAAAATGTTCCCAATATTCCCTGGTTCAGATCTCGTCAATAATAGTCTGTAGTCTAAAGAAGCTAAGACACGTACCCTTTATTCAGAGTAAATTCAACCTGATCTTAATGACACTTTGTGAGAAGGTCCACTGAATAGTCAAACACTGGCTGATAGTATGTTATACCTATTGGCTATGATGCAGTATACCTAATGGCTAATAAACATGCCAATCTGGCTTCTTTGAAAAAAGAAGCAGGTGTTCACAAGTTGCCACTCTTGTCTATTCAATTATTTTGTATAACACTAGCTTAATGTGGAGTACAGACATGGGGCAAGCATTGCTTTGGAATGGAATGGGAATTTCTAGAATTGAGCATCCCTAGCTGATATTTAGATCTCAGAATAGACTTGAGATTTTTTATTAGGTATTATCCAAGCGTCTATTTCACAATCTCATTGACACAAATGACAGAAGTGGACCTGAGCAGGTTGTAAAGCGCCTCCCAATGTTTGCTAATCTTTGATACCTTGCTTTTATCTATTGGATATCAATCAATATTTTATATTGGGCGACACGTGGACTCATCTCAAATAATGTCTGAGTAGCACTTACAATAGGGCTACGTTGGATCTAGTGTGTTTATACTGCCCATCTGGTCAAACTGGAAATTGTGGGTACTTAAAATCTCTGGAATGGAGAAGAGAAAGACTGACTTCTGAGAATGGTGGCCCTAATACTTCTTTGCAATCTCTGAGGCATTTTCCCTCAGAGCCTTAACAAACCTTAGGTTCTGATTGGAATCAAGGGAGGATGGTTTGGAATGTGAAGTTTATTGTGCATTTTTCCAGTAACCACGTACTTATTCCAACTTAGAAGCATTAAGTTTGGATAGAATCTAAAATGAAAGGAACAATCTTGCTAATGTTGCTATGGTTACCTATCAGCTTCTACAGCCAAAGCACACAAAAGCTTTGGAGATTGATTTCACCTCTTGTCCTTGTCCACCCTGGCTTCTCAAATCTGCCAACGCTGGGTTTGAAAATATGGCTCCTCTTAGAAGACACATGCAAGAACCAGTCAGTCACCATAATTCCAACCAGATTCAACCAGATAAATAAAATTGGTATAAATTTATATTCAATTGTTTAAGTAATCACTGTTTAGATTCTAATTTTCCATTGGGGAGTAAATTACTGAAACATATAGTGGTTTCCACTTTTAAGCAGTATTGAAGATTCTGATCATTTAGATTTATTTGTATCTGATTTCCATTTGGCAGATGGAATCAGCTTTAATCACTCTGAAAAATTATTAATGCTGTAGAATAAATCATGCCACTCTGCTACGTTTCCTACACTTCTCAGGCACTTTCAATATAATCAGACACAGTGTCCTTCTGAACAATTACTTGGTTGAATTTGGAAGGCACAGTATTAAGAGTACAGCACTAGCACTTAGCAATAGCATTTAGACTTATATACCACTTCACAATGCTTTACAGCACTCTCTAAGTGGTTTACAAAGTCAGCATATTGCCCCCAACAATCTGGGTCCTTCGTTTTACTGATCTCGGAAGGATGGAAGATTGAGTCAATCTTGAGCCGGTCAGGATCGAACTCCTGACGGTGGGCAGAGTTAGACTGCTGTACTGCATTATAACCACAATGCCATAGATTATATATAGGAAACCATTTTAACTGGAGAAAAGTGGCAAGAAACCTCAATCAAACAAAAAACCTGTAATGTAATCATTTAATTCTGGGAGTCCTAGCCAGTTTATGTTTTAACTGAGTAATCCTACTCAAATATTACTAACATAGAGCATAGATAGTTGTCTATATAAAGCACTTCACAAAAAAAAATCAAGTTTCAAGTTTCTTAAACTCTCCAGTCTGATATTGTCATTATATTAATCAGGAATCAGCAACTTCTTTGGAGAGATACTGCAGCCATGGGTGATAACACCAAGGAACTCATTGCATCCCTTAAGCCCCTCTTTGTAAGCCAAAAAGATCTCAACATATTGTCCAACTTATCTGCAGCCTAATTGCCTCATCCCTGCCCTAGAGCAGAGCTCCCCAACCTTTCCAGCTTGGCAGCCCGGAAGGAAAGGGAGGAGTAGTGAAATGTGCACAAGCATGGCACGGGCAAACGGGCACGTGCATAGCAGCAGCAATAGCACACATGCATGCGCAAGCAGGCTATGTGTGCCCAGTGGCACGCTAGTGCCCACGCACATGTGCAAATTGCCCACTGGCACTGGCACAAATGGGCCACTAGCGCCCACATGCATGTGCAAACAGGCCATAGCACTCGCATGATTGTGGCAGTGCTAGTGCACCCGCACATGCGAAAACAGGGCCGCTACTACCTGCACAGCGGCGCTACCACGAGTGGGGGGCTTTCCAGCTATTCCCGCAGCCCGGTGGCCAAGAGGCCATGGCCCAGTACGGGGCCATAAACCATAGGTTGGGGACCCCTGCCCTAGAGCATCCCTACATGTCAATGAGTGAAAAGTCAAGCTAGTCGAGAGACATCTGAGATCTACCTTGATCAGAAAAATCAAAAGATATCTTATTTTCTCATTCATCAAAATCAAAGAAAGACACAGGGAGGTGTAGAAATACAATACACAAAGATCCATTAAACAAGAATATCCACGATAGGGCTTTCACTTTCTCTGTGAAGAGAAAGTGCATCTGCAGATTAGTCATTCTTGTATGCAATTCTCCTAATATAAATTATCTCCCTAAAGCAGCCATTAACCTTGTAGGAGCCCCATCAGTCATTATTGTCCAAGAACCAATATTTCTTTGGCCTTTTGTTTTGAGCAGAAACTTAAGGAAAGAGAACCAGTATGGTAAGGGATGAAAAACCAACCAGCATTAATTTCCAGTTTCACAAATGAAGCAGATGACTTAAATATACAGGATTAGCTCAGATAGTCAGTTCAGTTGAATATATGCAGAACAATTATGAAATTCTATATAAAAGTACAAGCCCTGAAATTATGCCTAGTGTAAATTGTATGAAAATATGGATACTGGAACTACAGTACAAATTTATTCTGCTACTGCAATTTAAATATAAAAGAGAGGACTGCCTATGAAACCAAATGTTACATGCCTGCAAATTATATCCAACAATTTACAACTTCCATGATTTCAGCAGGCATTAAAAGTTCCAAGCATAGCTTGGCAGCAGCCATAAAATCTAAAAACTTGCTTTTGAAATATAAGGGAAGGAGATTCTTGCGAAGCTGAGTTCTGTGATCAGTATCATACCAATGCTTTATGTCTGCACATATAGAAACCATCCTGTACTAATTATGAGAAATGTTACCAAAATTGTCTAAGTTCAGGCTTTGATAAGATTTAGGAAATTATAAAAGGATGGACACAGAGAAGAAAGATTAGATCACTTTTGCTCCTCTTTGACTGTCTCCAGCTTCACTGCACCTGTCTTAGGCAGATAAGCTTTGTCGAAATGCAAGAAGCGATAAACTCAAAAAGAGAACGTGGAGAGCAATGTGTGAACACTAGCTCATCTTGAAATATTTTAATTTTCAGAGGCAACTGCTTCATGCATTTTCAGGTTGATCCAAATTGAGCATTGACAAGGTTATCCATCTGTATTCAACCGAGTCTGCCTTCAGATCAAAACCTTACAATCCTGGGTCTCCCTTGCAGTGGTTCCTCTTTAAACTCTGCTATTCAATATACTTTGAAATATAAAATATTGGGATGAGAGGTAGGGCTTCAGACATTGGCAGAATGTTGAAAAGTCCATGCAGCAGGTTGCATCTTATTCCCTGAATTTCTGTAAATGAGGACTACAGTAGTGCAGAAATCAATGTTGGTGGCAATATATGGAAGTCAGATAAACAAGAAGCTGTGAACCGAAGGACAAGTGCAAGTATCCCGCTGGCGAACCCTCTTCCAGGTTCCTCTACATCTTGGATTCCCCACAGCCTGCCAGTACAGTAGCTGGTTCCTGTAAAACAAAACAAGGCATGCCATGAAGTGGTATTTCCATTTCTCCAAGCATAGAAAGATAAAGGGGGCATGAATACCAGGGAGCAACTGCCAATAAGAGCAGAAATTAGTAGGCTTGATATGAATTGATATAAAGCAACTTTATTGCTTTATATGCAACAGTGTACATCAATGTTTCTCAACCTTGGCAACTTTAAGATGGGTAGACTTCAACTGTGCTGGCTGGGGAATTCTGGGAGTTGAAGTCCACCCGGCTTAAAGTTGCCACGGTTGAGAAACATTTGTGTACATGACTGCCCATTCTTGAGTTAAGGATTCTGAATCAGATCCTTTATATTCCTAGCAACACAGAAACTTTTGAGATCCAATGGCAGAAATATGTGATGAAGAAATGTTGGATGCAAAACTGATTTTTCTCTGACCCTACTTTATCAAGGAAGTATGTGCAGGCTGGCTTTCAATCTGTTGCAAATCTGAATAGAGATGATGGCAGGTTATTCCTAGACAAGCATTTCTTTCCTTCCTCCTTTCCCCAGCTACATGCACTGTTGCAAACCTGCATTCCATAACTGCCATATCTTCCTGCAAATCCTAAGGAACAGCTAATCCTTGCAAGCACGAGGCACTGGCTTTTCTAACAGTTTCCAACACATGCTTTTTGTAAATGTCAGTAGTGCTTAATCAAGCCTGAACCTTCCAGTAGTTTTTCATTAAAAAAAAAAAACACTCTAAATTTTACTCCATCTTTTTAAAGGCTGCCTTTTTAAGTACCAGTTGAACACCCAAAGATGGATAGTGTACAAATTGATTGCAGCTTTTAGAATCTATTTCTTAAGCCCATATGTGCTGAATAAATTGATAAGGCACAAAATGGACAGAGTCAGTTTGTCCAAGACACTAAAAAATGTGAAGCATCTATGTGGTGCTACTACACTGAAGGGGTATTTATTTCTGTAAACCATGGGCTTCTCCAAAATGTTTTTTGGCTCCAGTCCTATTCCCATTCATCACCTAAGTTTGCTATTAAAAAGGAAGAGGAAGTCTCACAGCCATTCTATCCTTTCACAGAATTCTTTGAATAGATGAATGATCTTCAGACCGTGTTCTCCTCTTGCCCTCCATTCTAAAGACTTTTCTCAACTGTTCTATCTTTTCAAGTGATCATGGCAGACAGATCTCCATGTCATCATATCCCCCAGTAGTTTTGATCAATGTCTCAAAGTCTATTTCAGGAAGAAACAAGGAGGAAAGGAATACTGACAGATGGTTCCAGTTGCACCAAATAAGACCTCACGAGACATTCCAGACATGGCTCAGCTGATTCAACAAAATACTGCAGCCATACTCGCGTGTGAGTTAAATTAGTTGACAGCCTGAAGCCATGAAGCCACTTTCATAACTGAGAAACCATATTCTTGGAGACTGGTGGTTCAACAGTATAACACTTTCTTTCTTGTTTGTTTGTTTGTTTTTAGGGAAAAGAAGAGGAACAGTATCCAAACAGCAAAAAAATAATGATCTCTGAATGTTTGTTTGCCTCATAGAAAAAGGACAATAAAAACTTATGGGAATAATTGAGGCGTGCATAATCTGTGCTTCTATGTCTGCATCTGAGTGACCGTATGTGTGGTCCTTAGACTCTCCAAAAACTGTCCTCAAGTTCACTGATTATTTACATATGCATCCAGTCTAAATGTAATGAATCACATTTATTTATTTATTTTGTCCTGACTTATCTGGAGCATGGTGTTCAATAGAGTAATTAGAGGCCTATGACCTTCAATCTGAAAAAAATAGCACATTCCTGGTATAAGACTTTGAATTCAAGGAAGAAAGGAAGAGTGAGGAGAAAGGGGATATTCCAATCTTCCTCAATCATTGCACATTCGAGATATTGGTGATCTTCAATTCCTAGAATTCCCAACCTGCACAGCCGTTACTGATAATTCTGGGACTTGAAGTTCACACACATCTGGAAGACACCTAGACTAGGAGTTATTGGTCCACAGTCTTCAGAGATTCTAGTTGCAAACAAAAGTACAAAGAACAAAGAACATAATCTCAGCTTAACAAAAGTACTCTTTATGATAATTAAGAGGCAAGATTCACTCATGCTTGAAGACATCCCCAGATGGAACAAATGAAATACGATAATCATGCATTTATGGAAGTTTGAGACCTTCTCTTAACAGCTTGAACTTCTCCATTTTCAGTTTCAGCTTATCTCATACATTTATTTCTGGTTTTCTGGGCAGAACAAAATTATATCAGGGTTTAACTTTCATTTGCAGTTTTACTATATTTTATAGCTTCAGTTGACAGTTATAATACTTGCTGCTACTGTGCTCTATCGAAATAATTTTGCAGCTGTATGCTGAAAACAGTGGAGGGCATGCAGAAAATGCTTAATCTTCTTAATACCATAAATAAATTATACCTGATGGGCTTTAAAAAGTAGTTTTGCACTAAACACTACATCTATTGCTTCTAATAAACATATTTTATCTATAAAGCAAAATTTATTTCAAGTCCTGAAACAAGGCAATTTGAGTTCATTAGCAGTGAAAGTCAAGAGGGAATTAGGCAGTTAATTGCTGTACATTATGGACTAGTATAGATGAGAACTTAGCAATAGTGTACTCCAGGAGACAAGGGGTCCACTGTACTGTTAGTAATTTATGTCATTAAGGGATGAAGTCTTAAAGTGAGATGTCGCATGGCTGCAATCCTGACTGTCCCAATTGTTAACTGAGAAGTGCAGTTTGCTAAATAAGTACTGGTCTTGGTCTCTCTCAGCTTGAGCCTCAGTAAGATAAGGGGCTGCCTCCAACTTCCCCCACTCACATATTTCCCTTCTGCCAGCCTCATCCACGGTCACCCTCATCACCCTGCACTTTGCCATCCCAGTTGACCTTTGCTGTCTTCTGACTCCCTTGCTGTGTTCTTGAGGCCAGCCCAATTCACAAGAACATGTTATTGATAGCTGCTTTATTGGGTATCAATGGGGTGGGAGATTAAAAAAAATCAAAATGGTGGCCACAATGAAAGCCTCATTTGTTTTTTACATACAGTATGTAAAGCATGTCTAAAAGGAGTGAAGCTTGGATTGCATGGTTCTTTCTCAACAAATGTTGACTTCTGCGACAGGTGCCCTGGCAGCTGCTGCTGCAGCAACACCTAATGACATAACTTGTTCATCACATCTACAGAGTCCTCTCACATCAACACAGATACATTGCTTCATTGGTATCAAGACCAAGGAATCTGCCATCCAATGTAGGTTAAACAGGTTTTGTTTTTGCATTTATGAACAAGCCTATATTGTAGCATGGGTAGACTAAACAAATTTAACACCTTTTCTGTGATAGCATCTTCAAAGCTCCAGCACAGAGCCATAGGATATGTGCAACAACAATCTCTCTAACAGTTACCCAAAACTTTTCAATCTTAGTCTTATAGTATTTTTTTCTTGCAGTGACATGAACTTAAAATGATGCAATACACATTTCCCCACTAAGCAAAAGACATAATTGATTCTCACTTCTTGGCTCCGCTCCCATCCCCAGAGCAGTGTAGACTCTTCTGATCTAGGGCTGGATGTTGACATTCCACACACACTGTGTGTCCTTCACTGAGATACTTCATCCAATGAGTGTAGGAACTGTCCCCATTCAGGCAGCCTTTTGTGATGGCCGTGAGCTGGAACTCAACACAATACCTGTCGTAGAAAAGATCAAAGAAGGGGCAATGTGGAAGCCAGAATGCCTCTTCATCTCACCCAGTCAACCTTGTCTGGGCTCAGGAGTTAAACAAGATTAGGATGTTAACTCTTGGAGGAGATAAAACCAGGGAATTGTAGGGTTGAAGAATAGACTGGGACCTGGAAAAAAAATATCCATAAAGAAGATATTGGCAGAGCAGATTTGTAGGTTTGTCAAGAAAATTGCATGACATGTTCATGTGGTCACCAGAAAACCAGGACATATTTAGCTTTATGCTATTCCAGTTACTGATGAACGTAACAGGAGAAATTCCCTACTACTTCCTAGTAGTAGCTGGTTGCCCTTGTGAGAAAAAAATGAAAGACTAAAGAAGTCTTGAATTTGATCCCCAAGACTCTTGTTCTTTTCCTCAGTAAATCTCATTGTATTCAATGGCAATTCAGCACGAGAAAAGTGTATAATGGGTTGCAATCTTTGACCTAATTCACACAACTAGTAAAGTTGCTTCTAAATGTTGAAGAAAAATGTTTGAAGAAAAACTATGCACATAAAAAATATAGACTACAGAGTTTTTGCATACTTTCCCCAACACTTTTTCTTCTGGGTGCATGTGCCATGTAATCTTTTTCATTCACTTTTACCCTGCAATGACAAAATCTAAGGACCACTATACTTCCAGCTCTGCTTCTTGTATCAATGTCATGTATTAGATGATAAAGGGATTCTTACTGGTGGATCCTATATTTAAAGTCTTCTTTCCAGTTGCCAGGGATCTACAACCATTTTCACCTTTTTCAGTAACATACCTGTATAGTAAGCAGGGTTAGGTTAATTTTATTTTTTTTGTCATTACAACCCTATTCAGTGTTTCTCAACCTTGACAATTTTAAGGCTGGCTGTGGAATTCTGGGAGTTGAAGTCCACATGCCTTAAAATTGTCAAGGTTTGAGAAACACTGCATTCCTTTGTCTCAGGGTGGAGTCAGGGCAATTGAATGGAGCTGAGCATTTACTGAGACCTACATAGAGTTTGTAGCAGATATTTACAGATATTTACAGAGAAACATCTGCCAGCTGCCTAGGATTGAACTCTCAACCTTCTGAGTGGGAGGCGAACATCTTCACCTCTAGGCCACTGCACTGCTCTTTCATTTAAATTTTAATAATGACTGAAAATTATGCCATACTGGTCATTAAGCAGTTTACCATATGAACGTGCACAATTTTATGACTTTTTTGTGGTAGTTGTTAAGTGAATACAGCAGTCATTAAGCAAATCCATTGTCCTCCATGAGTGGTTTTTGCCAGAAACAAAAAGTAAACTGGTTTTGAGGGGGATTGAGAAGACAAGATTTGCTGGGCTGGATTTAGGGCTAGGGCAAGACTATAAAGTCTCTCAGTATTGAGATTGTTAACTACAGTACTATCATTCACCATGCAGTTCAATGAGACTAAAGGAGGCCAAACAATAGGACTGGTAATAGATTTTCAGTGCTGAAATATAGAACTTACCCAATTCTTTGTCTCCCGCTGAGCACAGCACGCTTTCTCCTTGCCTTCCCATAGCCTCCAGTGGTTATTAATGCTGGGACTGATTACATGAAGGGGAGGAATAAAAACCACAACAACCACAGTCAGTGAAAACTGCACTCTAAAACTCACTTACATCAGCAGAATAACCAAGACTGGGATGCTCATGGAGTTTAATGCCTCGTTTTTGTTCGCAAGTGGGAAACCAAAGATACATTTTCTCCCACAGTTCCTGATCACAAATAATTATTCATCAACTGTAGAATCGGGAAATCTTCATCCCTTTTCTTTCTTTTTGGAACAGGCCTACTTATTATCCTTCTAGAAGGAAGGAAGTTATTTTAATAATCCACCATAGTTCGGTAGAAATACAATCCATTTGAATTGATCACCAGTCCATAAATTTTACTTGGGTCTCAACTGTGTTTTGTTTTTTTAAGGAAAAAATAGTTCACCTTAACTAATTTAACCTTTTTAACACAGACCTGGAAAAAAGCATTTTTTATTGTTTCTCATATAGCCGTACCTATTTGGACCAGCTAAGGAACAGCACTGCTTTCACTTGTACAAATTCTTCAGTAAGGGAGCCATTTGCTTTTCTTCCTGAGCTAGAGTGTCATGTCATGAATTCTGCTGATATAGAGGTACAACCGCCTAACCCAGGGGTAGGCAACCTTGGCTCTTTTATGACTCATGGACTTCAACTCCCAGAATTCCTGAGCCAGCCATGAATTCTGGGAGTTGAAGTCCACGAGTCTTAAAAGAGCCAAGGCTGCCTACCCCTGGCCTAACCATTTTCTGACTGGTTTCCTAGGGAATCTCAGTATTCATTGATACTTTAGAAGCCAATTCAAGATTTCATAGCTGCCATGATACAAGTATTTCCATATGCCTGAGATGAGGAACTTGTGCTCCTCCACTTGTTGTGGAACTATAATTCCCAACAGCCTTGAGCTGCAAAGACCAAGGTGTGATGTAACCATTAATATCTGAAGAGGCATTCTGTCCTGAGCATATGCCATTGGCTCAACATATCTTGCAGAAAATACTCTTGATGTTGATTTTGGGCCAAAGTACGGATCTATATCATTATCATAAATCATTATCTGGAGAAATCAGACAGGCAATATACCTTCTCCCACCACAATAATTGTGGAGCTGTTAAACTGGTTTATCCCTTAGAGTTTAATGGATCTCAATGAACACCACAAACATTGAGAAACTCTAAAGTCCAGCCTATTCCTTGGTTCATCAAAGAACTGGAAGTGATATAATAAATAGGATGAAGTTCAGATGCAGATGGAAATGATGCTTCATTATGATTACAACCAAATGGGCATAAGGGTACAATACCATTCCTACTTTGGCTAATTAATTCATGTCAATATATCATGAATTTCTCAGCATGCCTTCTAAAACACTAGAACAAATCATAAAAATATGTATGAATTGGAATGTTCCATTAATCTACTCCAAACCCCAGTTTACACCAGAATGCAATGAATCATCTCCAGCAGGCAATCATTTAATCTCCTTGAAAACGCCCAATGGGGAGAAACCAGGGCTGCTCTAGATAAATCATTCCACTACTTAACAGCTCTTACCATTAATAAATTATTTCTGATAACCAGTATCTCCTTTCTTTTAAATCTTTTTCCTTGTCCTTGTCCTATTCTTGGTTTCAGCAGAGGTCTGCTGAAGTCTAATAATAATAATAATAATAATAATAATAATAATAATAATAATAATAATAATAATAATAATAATAATAATAATAATAGTAAAGTTGGAAGGGACCTTGGAGGTCATCTAGTCCAACCCCCTGCTCAGGCAGGAAACCCTATACCATTTCGAATAAATGGCTGTCCAGTCTCTTCTTAAAAACCTCCAGTGTTGGAGCATTCACCGCTTCTGGAGGCAGGTTGTTCCACTGGTTAATTGTTCTAACGGTCAGGAAGTTTCTCCTTAGTTCTAGGTTGCTTCTCTCCTTGATTAGTTTCCACCCGTTGCTTCTTGTCCTGCCTTCAGGCGCCTTGGAAAATAGCTTGACTCCCTCTTCTTTGGGGCAGCCCCTGAGATAGTGGAAGACTGCTATCATGTCCCCCCTCGTCCTTCTCTTCGTTAAACTAGACATACCCAATTCCAGCAACCGTTCCTTATTGCATGAATAACCTTTAAGATATTTAGAGCAGAGCAGCAACTTTACTATCACCAGCGACTCTTGATTGGATTCTGCCTGAATTGCTCCTAAGCTTGGTAGGAAAGGATCCATCTACCTGGAGGTTCTTTCTACCTGGTCATAGGGGCCCTTCACAATAATTATGATATTTAGCCCAGAGGTAGCATGCTGATTCTTGCAGGACTAATCCCAAAGGCAGTTGCCCTTTGCTGGAAACTAAAGGATAAAGTGAGAACAAAATTATATTTAATATTGCTTTTTTTATGCTCCTGGGAAAGTCTTGCAATAACATCATGGAAGATAAGTTCCAATTAAAGTAATTATAGAATGGGGGCTATAACACTGTCCATGTCACGTAAGAACCCAAAAGCTGCCTATGCCTGCTTGCTTATTCCTTCTCAGAGCTGGGACATGTAATATCCAGCTCTTATTTGAAACAGTCTCTGTCCTTAGTGGAATCAGACCCATCTCTCAAACTGACATTTAGTATTATGCAATATAAAAATAATGGCCATAATAAATATTCCAAAAAAGATTTCCACTGTTGTTGCCCTCTTAACTATACTTAAGTGAGGATTTGAACTGCCTTCCCCCACTTACGAATGGAGTCCTTGCACAATGTTCCTTGCTGAGTCCAATACTCTAAACAGCCAGCCTTCTCTTCAAGAGGAGGGCAGGCTTCTCCCCCATTTCTGGGCTTCTGGATCACGTGTCTCCTTCGGAGGCGGTAGGTCGCCTTGCAGCGTTCAGCACATCCACTCCACTCACTCCAGCCAGAGACCAGGCAGGAAGCTTCTGCAGAAAGAATAAGAAGCTACTTCTTAAAAGCTGTGATCCATCCTGGGCGGTATCAGGTGAACATCCCAGAAGGAGAATTCAGATCTGAGCATGTTTGGTTTATAGGCTGTCCTCGAATTATAACCGTTTAGCGATGGCACTGAAAAAAGTGATTTACAATCGGTCCTTGCACTTATGACCATTGCAGCATCCCCACAGTCACATGATCAAATTTGGACACCTGGCAACCGGTGTATATTTACGATTTTTGCAGTGTCCCAGGACTTGTGATTGACATTTGCAACCTTCCCAGCCGGCTTCTGACAAGCAAAGTCAATAGGGGAAGCCAGATTTGCTTAACAAGTACTAATACTAATACTAATACTAATACTAATACTAATACTACTAATAATAATAATAATAATAAAGTTGGGAGGGATCTTAGAGGTCATCGAGTCCAACCCCCTGTTCAGGCAGGAACCCTACACCATTTCAGACAAATGGCTGTCCAGTCTCTTCTTAAAAACTTCCAGTGTTGGAGCATTCACCGCTTCTGGAGGCAGGTTGTTCCATTGGTTAATTGTTCTAATTGTCAGGAAGTTTCTCCTTAGTTCTAAATTGCTTCTCAAAAAAGATAATAAAACTGGGTGCAACTCATTTAACAACCGCCTTGTGTTGCAAATTCTGGTCACAACTATGGCCATAGATGGACCGCCTATAATTTAGATAGTATTTTAGAACAAAGGCTTAGTTTACATATTGAGGCTGATAGACTTAACTGCAAACAAAACATCCAGATGTTAAAAAGACTTTCTAAATGTCTCTGTTATGCTTGCTTTCTAACTAAAGAATTCATTTACAGGAGGAATATTCATAAATGTGATTTCCCAGCTGCAAGATGAAGCACTATAATCCATGTTCACCTACTTACTCATTACATTTCTATCCCATCTTTTCTGAGTTCAAAGCAATGCATCACAGGGTTTCCTCCAATTTTATCCCCAAAACAATCATGTGAACAGGTGAAGCTGAAACAGAATAATAGGTCCAATGCTATCGAGCAAGCTGCAAGGTTTTTTATTCTGTATTTTCAACTTTAACGTTCAAAAATTGATTAGCTTCTCGAAACCCTCCAAGACACAAAGTGGTTTTAGTTAGTGCATGGCACAAATCCAGTCACTGAGATTCGTAAACCAGGGTTGGTTGGTTTGTTTTAAAAAATTGCCCCACCTTTCATGCAGGAGTTCAAGGCTTCACACATGGCCCTTTCTCCTATCTTCCCCACAAGAGCAATTTTTGTGAGGCTGACAGAATTGTTCTTGTTCTTAGTACGTATCTCCCTTAGCTGCAGGGTCAGCCTGTTTTGTGCTCACCTAATTCAACAAAGCGTATCAATACATGATGCCAACAAGGTTTTGTTTTTCAGCTAGCTTGTTTCAGAGCCTGATACTGATTATAGCAGAGAGTGAGTGACTGGACCAAAGTCGTCAGCTGGCTTCTGTGGTTGGGGATAAATCAGAATTTCAATCTCCTTGCTCCTTCACTGACATCTTATACTCCATTTCATTAGTTCTGATAACGCAGCCAACTGTGATTGTCAATAAAACTTGCAGTACATAAACCATGGCTGTGCTTGCATGTACTGTATACAGTTTCAGTGTTTTATAAAGGAAGTATCTTCTGAGTTTTCCTGCTGAACCCAAAGTAAAGCATTTGGCAGTGCTAGTTGAGAAGTCTATAAGTTGCAGACCTAAGTAGAGACAATTGTGAAAACTGGGCTAAATCACTTTGATCTTTAGCAAAGCGAGATGATATGGAATTTAAATGAGTTCGCTTAGAGAATTCCAGAGAGAGAGAAATCAAATATAAAGATCATAAGTACTTTGCAAACAAACATTCCACTGACCTTTACAAGAAACCCAGAGGTCACTGATATTCGCCACTATTGCAAATCACTGATCTTATTCTACTCCAAAGATTGTACTAACTATACCAACAGAACACCAGAAGATGGCAGTATTAGCGGATACAATACAGTACATACTTAAATCAACCTTTGATCGGTTATCAGAAAACAGACTTTCAATGGTTGTAATAACCAGTTTGGGGAGGAAGAACCATAGAAATTAATTCATTTATAGGTCTGTTGGTACAGAAATCATTTATATCACAAAATGTTTCATGAACCTGTAATGAATGAAGGAGACTACAGTTACAGTAGGTGAATTACACAGCTGGATTCTGCATTAAGCATAGCCTGAGGCTGCTTTGTTTTTATACCTTAAACCAAGATTCCAGCCCTCATGGCCTTCCAAACTGTAGTACTATCCACATAGAGCAGGCCTATGACTTCCAGAATTCCCAATAGATCTAGAATAGGAATAGGAATAGGAATAGAATAGAATCTGGAAGGGACCTTGGAGGTCTTCTAGTCCAGCCCCATGTTCAAGCAGGAGAACATACCATCTCAGACAAGTGATTAGTCTCTTCAGTGATGGAATACCCACAATTTCTGGAGGCAAGCTGTTCCACTGGTTAATTGTCCTCACTGTCAGGAAGTTTCTCCTTAATTCCAGGTTGTTTCTCTCTTTGATCAGTTTCCAACCATTGTTTCTCATCCTTCCCTCTGGTGCTCTGGTGAATAATGTGACCCCTCTTCCTTGTGGCAGCCCCTCAAATACTAGAATACTGCCATCATATCTCCCCTATTTATTCTTTTCTTTAGATTAGCCAAACCCAAGGCCCCGCAGCCGTTCTTCATATGTTTTAGTCATCTTAGTTGCTCTTCTCTGAATTTTTTCCAAATTCTCAACATCTTTTTTGTGATATGGTGACCAAAATTGGCTGCATATTCCAGGTGTGGTCTTACTAGGGTTTCATAAAGCGGTACAAATACTTCGCGTGATCTTGATTCTATGCCTCTGTTTATACAACCCAGGATTGTATTAGCTTTTTTGGCTGCTGCTGCACACTGCTGGCTCATAGTCAAGTGATCATCTTCAAGGCACCAGGTTGGAAGGCTATCCTAAAGAGCAGCTTCAATAATTATTTTCAGGCTAAGCATTTCCCTCTGGCTGGGGATAATGGGAGTTGCAAAACTTTTTTGGAGGGCACCAGAAAATGAGACAAATGCTTTGAAGCTAAAGACAATGTCAATGGAAAAAAATTAAACACTGTATAGAGTAAAGGAAGGCAAAAGAAATATATACAGATAGTATTTGACTTATGATCACAATTGAGCCCAAAATTATTACTGCTAAGCAAGACAGTTATTGAGTTTTGTCCCATTTTATGACCTTTCTTGTCACCGTTGCTACCAAGCCAAGATTGCTCTAAAGCTAAATGCATTCTAATGTGGCCATCAAACGTGAAGAACTGTGGAGTAAAATTCCAGTAAAAGCTTGAACGTCTCTATACTGCCTTCAGATAAATGTCAACTCCTGGCAACTGCCTAGATTAGCCCCTGAAGCTTTTTGGCAATGTACAGGCAGTCCTCGACTTACAACCATTTGTTTAGTGACCGTTCAAAGTTACAATGCTACTGAAAATTGGTCCTTCGTGGTCATGGTGAGTATTAAACACTCTTGGAAGGCACAACAGAAAATCTCCCATTTTTAACCAAGGGACCAAAGGACACAGCATGACAAAAGAAACAGGATCTCTAAGCATAAGCTGTTGCCTACTCCAGTCCCCCCCAATCTGCTCCATTTGTATGGCGACTGTGAGGTTCCAACATTGCCAAAAAAAAAGTTCACTTTCTGGGAGTCGTCGGAACAGCGGGCTGGGAAAACTCGCAGAGCTGCCAGGCCACTCGCCAGGGCGCTGGAGTGGAGCCTGCAAGGCACAGCAGCTGCTACCCGAGCGCGGGAGAGGAGAAGAAGCCGTGGAGACGAAAGAGCTCCTAAGCCAGTGGTTCTCAACCTGTGGGTCGGGACCCCATTTGGGGTCGATCGACCATTTCACGGGGGTCGCCAAGCAAGGCTGTCCGCCATTTTTTTTGTCCGCCATTTTTTTTTGTCCACCATTTTTTCCCCTTTTCCGGCGGGTGCCTTACCTCCCTTGGGCTGGGCCAGCTGGTGGTTGGCCTGCTCCGTCTCTGCCGCTTGCCAGCTACGCCTCGGCCGGCGCAGGGGGTGGAACCACGCATGCACGGCGCTCCCGGGCAGGGAAAGTCCTCGACTTACGACCGGTTGGGTAGTCCTCGACTTACGACCGGTTTAGTCCTCGACTTATGACCAGTTTAGTCCTCGACTTACGACCGGTTGGGGTCGCGGCATTAAAAAGGCTGAGAACCACTGTCCTAAGCAGAGCGCGGGGAAAGCAGGCGAGCGCCAGCCAGCCCTTCTCCCTCCAGGCCCGCTCACCTGTCCGGGTCCCTGCCCACCCAACCCGGGCCGCGCGGAGACTCACCTGGGCAGAAGTGCCGGTAGTCGCTGCAGCAGTCCAAGGTGGAAAGGCAAGCCTGGTCGCAGTAGCAGAGCCCGTAGGATCGGTCGGGTCGCCAACCGGTGCTCGCGCACTCCAGGCTCCTGCCCGCGCAGCAGCGTCCCAGCTCAGCACAGCCGCCCTCCGCTCCCGCCGCGGCCAGCAGGGCGGAGAAGAGCAGCGCGCCCGCCAGGCTCCGAGGGCCGCAGGTAACCGGCATGGCTGGCCCGGCCGTTTGGGAAGGGAAGCAAGGGAGAAGAAAAACCGGGCGCGGATTGCCGTACAGCGCCGAGCCCCACCGCCCTGCTTGGCGAGCAAGCCGCCTTAAGTCAGAGGTGACGTAAGAGAGGGCGCCCCGGCCCCGCCAAACAGGAGCGCCCCGGGGCGATGTCTTTCAAACTGTGAATCCGCGGGAGGAACGGCCGTCAGGGAAAGCGGATTTTCCACGCGTTTCGGGCAGTCGATCTTGAAAGCAGCCCCGAAGAAATAGGTCCAGTTTGGAATGGCGCCCGGAGATGCTCCTCCAAGCCACTCGGCGAGTTCCCTGCGCAACTTTCCGCACCTAGTTGAGGATCCGACTGGGGCCGCCCACAAGGAAAAAAGTCAGGAAGTTGATCTTTGGAGTTCGAGCTCCCTTTTAACCCTGCGATTACTGCCGACTAGCCTTCCCCGAGATAGCGGTCGGCATCTCCGCCTATTTCCAGGGGTAGGCAACCTCGGCTCTTTTATGACTCATGGACTTCAACTCCCAGAATTCCCGAGTCAGCTATGCTGACTCGGGAATTCTGGGAGTTGAAGTCCATGAGTCATAAAAGAGCCGAGGTTGCCTACCCCTGGCCTATTCTAACCTTCGCCTTTTTCTACCGGATTCAGTTCCAGGCGCGCTTATAAAGGAATCCAGTCGGTCGACGCCTTCCAGTCAGCTGGCCTGGCTGGAGTGGAGGGAAGCTGTTACTTCAAAGTAAGGCCGTGTTTACCAAGGGAGGCAGCGAACTTTGTGGGGATTTTTTTTTTTGACTTGGGACACAGCCAGACGAGCCACATTAAAGGGCTGCCTTCTAATTCGAGAGGTTGGCCGAGAAGCGAGCTCCTGTATAATTGCAGGCGCTGCTTGCTGAGCCCTGTGCTCATTAAGGAGGCTGATGAGTTAAGTGCCCTCTTACGGTGCTCATCCTGGAGAAGTTAAGGAATGCAACCGACGTTTGTGCCAGGCTTTGTTTCCCTTCCAACTGGGAGAGGCTCCAACTGTTCTGGATGTGTGAAGAGGAGGCACTGGGTGACTGGGGGCAGGTGTGCTGAAGGTTGTGGCATATCGGACTGTTTCCTTGAAGAGTGCTAACCCTGGGTTTCGAACTAGCCTGCAGAGACATTCATGTGTGGAGTGGTGTGGGTGGGTGTGAAACAAGTAAAAAAAAAGTCAGCTACAATTGCATGATGAAAACTCTTGACTCTTTTTTTATGACTGTCCATGCAAGTAAAAAGAGATGGTTGATTATGATTGTTAGCTTGACTGTTTACACTTACACACACACACACACACACACACACACACACACACTGCTAGCCTGATTAACTGGCTACAGGAATGGAGGAGGCACATGGTGAAGGAGGTGTTACATGTGCCTCCCTAGGGGCATCCAGAACTGTCCGCATTGCTGCATTCTGTGTCAGTTGTAGCTTCTGAATACTCTTCAAGGGTAGCCCCATGTAGAACGCACTGCAGTTATCCAAATGATGTGACCAGGGAACAAGGGACTGAGAGCTCATAAACTCATATGCAAAAGGAGCTTCCATAAGAAGTAATCAACACTTTGTATTAAGTGGGCAGAACTCTGCTTAATCCTGATGCCTAACCTGAAATGGTCACAGAGACAGAGCATGCCTGATGCAGCCTCCAGTGACTAATAGCAACTGGGCAGATGCCATCTCCAGACTATACCATCAACCACATCATTGACTAAGCCAGTAGATCTTAAAACTGTTTGACTCAATTACCTCTTTCCCCGTCTCAATGCACACACAAAAAAAAGCCAGACTGTTTTATGCAATTATCTCAGAAGTGACAGTTCCCAACTGGATTCTTGGCTCACAAGCAAGCAATTACTGTACACATTGCTCCATCACTCCAGTATATGCCCCCAAAGTAGCTTCAGACTAACCTTTCAGAGCCTGATGCCAGAAGCTAAGTGGGAATTGTGGGGTTGAAATCCAAAGAATCTGGATGGCATCAGCTTAAGGAGGGCTGCCATAAAAGGTATGTCCGTGCATTTTTCTTTAGCATATGCACATTTAGGGGTCTGTTCATAGAATTAAAAAAGGTAAATGTTGGAAGCAAAGTCAGTGGGGAAGCCGGTAGGGAAGATTGAAAGTTGCTCCAGTAAGTCGCCCCACAGCAGCCACCACTCCATAGTGCACACCTGCCCTCCATACCTTCCATAGGGCTTCCACTGACACACTCCAGGGTCCCCACCACCAATCCACTTCCTAGTGGCCGCCTGCAGCAGCCCCCCTACAACACTCACATACCCCCTGCACTCCTTCCTTGGGACTCCCATCTGTTCTCGTTGAAAGACATTGCTGTCGCTCAGCAATGCAGTCAAGTGAGATTGTGCTTGACAGCACTTAGTGATAGCAGTCCTGACCCCAATTGGCATCATAACCCAAGGACTACCTATAAACGCCTAAGACTACATTCTTCTGTGATCCACTTGAAAGTGGATCTCAATGAATCCACTAAGACTTAACAGTTCTCTGGGCACACACTTCGTTCAGATTTTACTACACCTCAAAAAAAAATTTTTTCAGAATGGAACATGATTCCCTGATCCACTGTTCACCTTTTCATTGCTTCATCAATGAATTCATAAAACTTGGGAGGAAAAAAAACCTGGCCCAGTGTTTAACTGCAGGTAATCCTCAACATAATGGCCACAATTACAACCAGAATTTCTGTTGCTAAGCAAGGAAGTTGTTATGTGAGTCACACCTGATTTTACCACCTTTTTGTCATGCTTGTTAAGCAAATCACTGCAATTGTTAACCAAATCATGTGGTTGTTAAGCAAATCCAGCCTCCCCCATTTTCTTTGCTTGTCAGAAGCCAGCTGGGAAAGCTGCAAATTGCAGTCACGTGACCCCAGGATGCTACAGCCATCATAAATACATGCCCGTTGCCAAGCACCTGAATTTTGATTAGTGTGATCAAGAGGATGCTACAATAGGAATTGCAAAAATTGCAAGAGGTCATAAGTCATTTTTTCGGGGCTGTTGTAATTCTGAAAGGTTGCTAAATGAATGGTGGTAAGTCAAGGAATACCTGTATTTCATCAGCAAAGGATGAGACTATTTCTCTGCAAAATAGCCTAGTTTTTCACTGTACCGTGATGATGTTGAGACTTTGGAAAAAGTGCAAAGAAGAGCAACAATCATGATTAACAGCCTGGAGGCTAAAACATATGAAGAACGGTTGCAGGAATTGGGTAGGGCTAGTCTAGAGAAAAGAAGAAGGGGGGACATGATAGCAGTATTCCAGTATTTGCCACAAAGAGGAGGGGGTCAACTTATTTTCTGAAGCACCAGAAGGCAGGACAAGAAACAATAGAGAGTAAGTCTATTGGTGGTAACAATAACTTTCTCATTGACTTTCCAATGGTATCTAGTTGGGTCCTAAGGGAAGTTAAGAGAAGAAAGATACTTATCCATATTATCCATCAGTTAATTTGTTCTTACATACTCTTTCAAAATCATATAATTACTACACAGTGTAATTTTCTCAGCAAGACTGTACACCACTGTCTTGATTTCTATATGGAACCTGAGGGCATCTCCTTATAGTTTGTTGTTTTTGTTAGTCATGGTTCAAATGAGATATATTGAAGTTCTTCTGATAGTCTATACAAGACCTGAAGTTTGAACAACTGATTTATTATGACAAAAATTAAAACAGCCAAATATAATTTTAAAACAGAAACAGATAATTAAGTAAATCAGCTACTCTGTTGTTAACATGAAGCTCATATCAGTCCACATTTGAGAAGAGGAAAATTATTTTAATACATTAAGAATATATCGACCTTAAAATTCTAGGGATTGTTTTTTCCCACTGGCCTGTACAAATCAAAATCTTTCTCTAAATTTTAATTTTAACCTTTCGAGGACCCTATGACAGTGCTCCAAAAGAATTTTAGTGCTCACTTAATTATTTTCTTATATACAAAGACAGAGCTGTGCAGCTGTCAATTTACATCAGTCATAAAGAGTTGGGTTAAGCAGCTGTCAGGATTCTCCACACTGCCAATAAGAATATTTTGAACACATCTCATTCAATGTTATTGGACTGAATGAAATGTTGAAAGAGTCTTTCAATTATTATTATTACCAACCATTTTGCAGTTCAAAACTATGTACCTTTACTAATACAAACAGACATAGAGAGAAGGGAGGACAACAAAAGAATTCTTCATGAGACTTCAGTGTTTAGAACTTTTTAAAGAGCTGGGAATTTGGACTTACGTAAGCAAGAAATAAAAATGAATAGCTTTCAGGGAGCTCCAAATCTTAGCAGCTAGAACACACAATAATATTTCCTTTTGGGTAAGTATGTGCGGTAAAGGAATTATATAGACCTTTTACAAAAAATGAGATGAGATTTCTTAATTAAGTCCAGTTGAACAGCTTCCTTCCTGTAATTGTCCTGTTCAATCATTCTAGTTTGAAGGTCAGAGAGTTATGTCATGGAAAACAAGTCTTGCTTAGCTGAAAGAAAAATATTTATTTAGAACATAAATGTTTGTGATTAGAGTGTTTTATAACTTATGCGTGGAGAGGGTTCCTCAATTTTCACATTTAATATATATGTAGATTACACATATTAAATCCAACTAGTACATTTTTTTCTTTTTTCAAAGGTATAAAAAGTGTAATAGTTCGGTGTCCAAATAATGTTTTTTTTTTTTCAAAAGACAACTGGAGTTTCTTAGGTTATTTTTTTCTTCTTTGAAAACTCTTCGCTTTTCATCCAAGAAGCTTGAACTGAAGAAGTTTGTTGGATGAGAAGTGAAACATTTTCAAAGACAAAAAAACCCCCAAGAAAGTCCGGTTGCCTTTTGTAACGAGTTAAACAGTAATAATTCTTTAACAGTGCAATTAACACTTAATGCAAGAAAAATACCCTTTCACATTTAATGAAACGAAAACAAATTTGCCATCTTTCAGTCCTAAGTCAGTGGAACTTACCTTATCAGTTGCACAAGTGGATCAGAATTGGACACTGAAATTTTGCTACCTTCGTGTCCCTGAAACAAAACTGAGGCAGCCATAATTTGAGCGTATCTCCCAGTTTTTCTCCAAGAATACATTAGAGATTTTATTTTAGATTTTATTTTATCACAGGAAAGGAGATCAGCCCAGTTTACTCAGAGAGGTATAACCAAGCTTCAATAGTGGCGTTAACTTAAAAAAAAAAGATACTTATCTGATCATCTGGCATGGAAACTTTAGTGCCAGCCCCGCTGAGAAGTCTTTTTCTATCTTAATTAAGAATGCTGCATAGTGGCGGAATTGCTTTTGACCCAGTTCCCAATAGTTCTCACTCCAGTGTCTTTTGTTAAAGGATTTGGCCGGAAGATCCTGGCAGCTGGGGATTGATAGAAGGGAACAATTATTCTCACTTTCACTGCTGCTGGGAATTTGCGATTGTTAATTGTTCTTTGTTAGTTGCACCAGGAGAATTGCTGGGGTGCTCCAGGCAAGATGTTCATGCAACATCCTGATTTCATGTCAGCAGGAACAGGAGAAGCCTACCCAGAAACACACCCTCAGCATGACGCTTAAATGTCTGCAGTTGTTTGAGCTTGTCCAAAATGCATTAGGCTATACAAATAAAGAACAGTTGCCATAGCATATGGATTTTTAATTCTTGTTTGTTTTTTCAAATTACTGCAACCTCACACAGAAGTTCTGGAATACAGAATGCCTGAGGTTTCACAGTATGAGGGAGTTGATGGTCTGGTGCGGAAGGAAGATGAATATGGAAATAAAATATTTCATAAGCCCAGTGCCCTCCAGATGGCCTACAATTTCAGTCTCATTCACTGGAACTTCAGCTTCTAAAACCAAAACAACTAAAACCCTTTGACTTTGTTTTCTAGAGATGTGAAGGAGAGCTTCCATCATGCTCATTGAGCAAGGCCAAATTGAATATCCTTTACCTGACCTGAAGACAGAAGGTCCTTTGTTTGTGATCCAGCCACCAAATAACACCTAAACAAATGTGCTGACATCACCACCAAATGAAGGGCCATTTCTTACTGTCCACACTAGGGTCCCCAACATAGTACCTGCCCATGGTTCCCAGCAGGTCCACAGAGTACCTGCCCATGGTTCCCAGCAGGTCCCTTGGCATCTACAAGACTTTCCCATGTTTAAATAGAAGCCTAATTCTTTTATTTAGATATTTAATAAAGGGAAATGGAGAGAAGGGGTGGGGAGAAACATGTGCCAGTTGGAAACAGTGAAGATCAAACTTTTGTCTTCTGGGCAGACACTAGGGTAATAGTAAAGCCTTCCCTCTTCTCTCCATCGTCAACAAGTCTATTTGTGCATGGCCTAGGAATTGGAGGGAGGGCTTGTGATCCATATTGGGGCATACCTGTAGATCCTAAGTCTTCATGCTACCTGCAGGCCTGGGTTGCACCCTTTTTCTATATGGAACCGCAAGGAATGTCACTATATTTTAATCCAGCTTTGCCTGGAGCCCCAATTCTACATTGTGGGAGGTTGGGCTGGCTAGAGAAGATCCCATCCCCAGGCCACCCATCATCTTAGTGTTTTGCTTTTCTATTTAATTCTTTTAATTTTAATGGCTCTGTAGTGCTGCTTTTTTTTACTTTTTTATTATATTATAAGCTGCCAAGAGAAGCTGCATCAGTGAGATGAGTAACATAGAAAATTTAATGAATAAATAAATAACCAAAGGATATTTCGGCTCTCATCTTTCTGAACCACCTTTCTGTATTTTCTGTTCAGGAAACTCTTCTTTCTTATTTAAGTCATTGTTACTGTAGTTCTTTGGAGTTGCTGACAAATGCAGTTCAGGATTGTTTATGTTTGTTTATGTTTATTTAGATTTGTATACCGCCCTATCTCCCTTACGGGACTCAGGGCGGTGAACAGGCGATAATAAAAATCACAAAAAATATCTATTCTAAAATCAAATTAAATAAATAAAGGCCTGCTCTAAAATACCCCATATAAAAACCTATACTAAAACCTAATTAAGACTACGCCAGGTCGGCCGCACGGAATAGATGGGTTTTCAGGGCTCGGCGAAAAAGGCGCAGGTCCGCAGTTGTACGTAGGTCGGGGGGTAGGTCATTCCAGAGGGCAGGAGCTGCCACAGAGAAGGCTCTCCCCCTGGGGGTCGCCAGCCGGCATTGACTGGCCGACGGCACCCTAAGAGGCCCTCTCTGTGGGAGCGGACTGGTTGAAGGGAGGTATTTGGTAGGAGGCGGTCTTGTGGATATACAGCTTTTAAATGCTGATTAAATAAAATCCTAATTTTTCAAAATGGTTTGCAATAGAACATGGCAGGCAGTACAAGTATTAAATCACACACATAAACAGAATTACACTTTTTTGACATCAGCTGAAAAGAAGCTTAAATATATAGAGACGATATAATAAATAAATACTTGTTCTGAATATGGAATAACTTTCTACTTCCACTGGCATTTTAACAACTTCCCTTGTCATAGCACTTCAACCATGGCATAAATATTCCCAAGAACTTTTCAGGCTGCCCATGAGACCTATTACTTTAAAAATCTCGGGGTATAATCTTTGGTTATAGGAGGGGAAAATTTTAGTCATTAGTAGGGCAAGGAACACCTACATTCAAGTAATGTTATCTGAGCACCACAATTTGGTTTCATATTCTGTGCAGTAATATTGCCCTTTTGTTATATGCATGCTGGAAGAGGACACAGTGACAAAAGAAGACAAAATAGCCCGGCCTTGGTCTTCATTAAACATCCCTTTCATTCTGCTAATTAGGTGTTCACCTCACTGACCCAGCAGAAAAGCCAATGACTGAAGGAGCTGTTATCAAACTGCCATTGGACTATCTGGCCTATTGCTTTTCCTTTCAGTCTCTTTTCTTGGAAAATAAAGTCCCCTTGAAAAGCAAATTTAAAACACAAGCAGTTTGTGCTTGCCTTTAAGCATTCTGGTATATAATGGTGGGGAATGTTTACATGCCCCCAATCCAAACAGTTTTATGAAGATTATTCTTCCTCTATTGCTCCTGGGCCCTCATATTTATGACCACATATATGCCAATTAAAATAGACATTTTTAACCTAAATAAAAAATGCGAATCATAATAAAAAAACAATCATACTAATTCAAAGAAACAGAAATGGGGCATAATACTTCAAAGGCCCAACAACATGGCAGAAATACTTTATAAAGCAGAATGTGGAAACACTGATATCTGGTTTTATTATTATTTAAAAATAGGTTATCAATCAACAGTCTAAAATCAAATACAATGTTATAGCTTCATGCTGTATATAGGTAGTCCTCGACTTACAACCATTCACTTAGAAACCGTTCTAAGTTACGACAGCACTGGAAAAAGTGATTCATGATCCGTCCTCAACTGTTGTAGCATCCCTACAGTCATATAATCAAAATTCGGGAGCTTGACAACTGGCATGTATTTATGATGGTTGCAGCATTGTAGGATCACATGGTCACCATTTGCAAACTTTAGTGACTTCGGACAAGCAAATTCAATGGTAGAAGCTGGATTCACTTAACAGCTCATGGTTCACTTAATAACCATGGCAAAATAAGTTGTAAAATCAGCACAACTCACTTAATGACCTCACTTAATGGAAGTCCTGGGCTCAATTGTGGTCATAAGTTGAGGACTTTCTGTATGAAAATCAAGATCAGATGCACTTTCAGTGAATGCCTTGTACCACAGGAGCTTATTGCTAAAATGAGAATTTCTTGGAAGCCATATCCTTTGCATTGCTTCTCAGAAATAAAGAAACAAAATAAGTGTTATGATTAACAACACCTCTCTCTGCTATTACAGCAGAGATGAATAGAATAGATTCCAGCCAAGTAGAACTCAAGTGAAATGTGAACTTATCCACTCAAAACAACAATATGGAAAACAAAGAGATAATGGAATTGTAACACAGCAGGAAATAGTCTATGAGGCCATTATCTGAAAGTGGGTATTATGAGCCTCTTTGACATACTGTGAATATAATGGGTCTAAGTACTGATAGAATTCACA